CCACCAGCCATAAAAATTCTGCAAAACTACTGGCAATTCCCTTTTGTCAAGGGGAGGTGCCTACAAACCCTTTTGTCAAGGGAATGTGTGGCCCCCTACTTGCCATCCAAAAAGTGCCACACAGCCACATCAAAACTGGGGTAGGTGTTCATACCCCAGCCATGGGCATTCCACCAGGGCACAATTGCCCAGCACTCAATACCCCACTGGCCACACTCTTGGATCACATCCCACCTGTCATCAAACAGGATCTTGATGCCTGCCCTGTGCAGAGCTTGGGCCTTCCCCTCCCTGCCACATGGTTTGTGCCACACCAGTTGCTGTACACCCCATCACTCAGGAAATCTGTTTCCTTTTGCCTGTCTGGCCCAGAGTATGAACATAGGAAAATGTCATACCCTGCATCCTCCAGCTTCTGCAAGGCCCTCCTGTTGGCACCAGACACATTATTTCTGATTTCCAAGGTGTGGTGCCAATCCACTGCAATTCTTGGCCTCTTGGGCTGCCAGCTGTACCTTTTGTCAAGGTACTCTGGTGCTTCTTTGAGTGTGAGGCCTTCCTCCTCTTTCACCTTTTTGGCAGGTGGCTCATGGTCTGATGATGAAACATCAGATGCATCCCAGTCAGGTGATGAACTTGCTGGTGAGCTTGATGAGCTGCTGGTCTGGGGCTTGCTCTCCTTTTGCTTTTCTTTTGCTTTTTCTTTTGGGCTGGGGCCAAAAACCAATGGTTTTGGAACCTCCCTTTTGTCAAGGTTGGTTCTTTCTTCCCATTTTTCAACCTCTGTTTGCACTTTGCTTTTGTTTGGTTTGGGTGCCTCCTGCTTGATCTCTTGTTTGGGATCTACTTTTTCCATTGCTTGCTTTGCAGCCCCATCTGATTTTGGATCTCTTTTGTCAAGAGATACTTTCTCAGTTTTGGCTTGGGCACCCTTGGTGTCAGGACTAGCCCCCCTTTTGTCAAGGTTGGCTGAAGAGCTTGCCCTTTTGCCATCCTTTGCTGTTTTGCTGTTTTTTCAACTTTTTGCAGTCTTGCTCCAGTTTTTCTTTCTCCTTTCTTTTTTCTTCTGCTTCCTTGGGCCACAAATAGTCATGCAACTCCTGTTTTGTCAACAGGTGTGGCTTTCCATATGTTTTGTCAACAGCTGCTTTTGCCCAATCTATGTTGACATCTTCAAGTCTCATGTTTTTATTTTCTCTTTCCATTCCTTTTTTCCTGATTTTTTCTTTCCTGGCCTCTGTGGTGGTGCCAGTGCCCTGTTTTTTCCCCTTGTTGTTGAGCATGGCCCCTTTTGTCAAGGGAGCTTCCACAAGCTTTCTTTTGTCAAGAAAGCTAAAGAGGGGAAGCCCTTTTGTCAAGGGCCTTTACTCCTAGTAGTCAAGCTTGAGTTTTCAAACAGCTGCAGTGGTAGAAAGGCCTGCCAGGTGTGAACCCCCCTTTAGTCAAGGCACCCAAAAGAACATGCATTGCATATTTTTCAGTGTGTTTCTCTAAAATTCCATGAAAAAACACCCTGAGAAAGTTTCCATACATTTGAAATCAAGTTGGTGGGGCCAAACCATGAGAAAACCATCATGACACTTTGGTTGGGTTATCCACTTTTGTATCTGTTTTCATGTGGTGTATATCTTCATTTGTTGTCAGAAAATGTGTACTTGATTGGTATATACATAATATATATATATATATTTGTGTATATAATCAGTTTTCAAAATTTCAGTATATACTTAAAAAATAAATGTATATGCATATGAATGTATTTATATATATATATAGAGCGTTTTTTTTTGTAATATATATATATATATATATACATATTTTTGTTTTTTAACATATATTTAAATATATAATTCAATTATTTATATTTAGTTCATTTATTTCATTTATTTGTTAATATATTTTCACCCCTTAATAATTTGTTCTTGTTGGCAACCTTTGGGCAAGGAGCCTGGGGTGAAACATACATAGCCCAACCATGTCAAACCTTTTGTCAAGGAATGACAGGTATCTGTGCAAGGGCCAGCCATGCATCAATGGGGCAGATATCTATAGCACCACCATTGCCTTTGCTGACTGAAACCCTTTTGTCAAGGGTAGGGGGCCCTTTTGGCAAGGAACCCCCAGGGCCAAAAGCCTTAGCTCAGCAACTCTTCTCTCAAAGCTCTGGCTTGCTCTTTGGTTAGATGCTCAGCTTGCAGCCTTCTGTGGATAACCCCAATCACCTCTCTGTATTGTGGGGTCATTTTCTTTGTCACTTCGACTATGTGGTGAATAGGTTCAGGTGGCCCATGGCTTCCTTGGATGTAGGCCCTTTCTGGGTTCCTGGGATAGGTTACCTTCAAGGTTTTCCATGGCTGTTTTTTTGTGCTTACTGCAGCTGTGCTTACTGCAGCTGCAGGCCTTTTCATTTTGGAACCCTTCTTCTCTTTTTTGCATGTTTGTTTTTTACCCAAGGCCAAAGCTTTTGTCAAGCTTTGGTCTTGGTCCTTTGAGTTCCAGCTTGGTCTCTTTAGCACCAAAGAACCCTTTCTCCTTTTCAAAAAAGATCCCTCATCAGGTAATGCATTGGAACTGCTTGCTGCTGCTCCTTTTGTCAAGGGGCTGTCCTCCAATGGCAAGGCATTGGATTGCTGTGGGCTTTGCAAGCACTTGGGGAAGCCACTGGAATCCATGGAGATGGCAGAATCTTCTTTCTTAAGCTGCCTCCTTTTGGCAAGGGGGCCAGCTTCTTCTTCCTCTTGCTGCCCCCTTTTGTCAAGGGAAGCAGCTTCTCTTTCCTCATCACTGCTTTGCTCTGTGTCCTTGCCTGCCAAGTTTTGTGCAAGCTCTTTCAGCAGCTGGTATTCTTTTCCACTCACTTTTGCTGCTACTTTTGCAAGCTCTTCCTCAGATTTCAACCTTCTAAGATGAAGGAGGACAGTTGTAACCCTTTCTGCTCTCATGTTGCAGTATACCAGTCCATTGAAGTCTGTTGTGTTTATCTTCGGTTTGTGCTGGACCAGCTTCAGCAATGCTTGCCTCAGAGGACCTGGGTGGATCTCACCTGTGGGGGAAAGATCCAACAAAGCTTCCAACAGAGGCAGGCAATGCACTAGGCCCTTGGCATCTGTGGCTTGCTGCCTGCTGACAGTCTCATACCTTCCCAGTGAAGACACCAAAGAGACATGTTTGTTCAATGTTTGGAAAAGGACAAAGGGGACCACCATTGGCTTGGAGAAGTGCCTTGCCCCACCCCTGCTGGCCATTGCTTCAAAACTAGAATCCTTTGGTCAAGGGTTCCTCCAAAACTAAGCTAGCTTTTGTCAAGCCAGCTACAAAATCTTGATGGATCCTACTTGAGACAGATGGTTACATATGGCTCTCATGCAGTTTGGCCAGAAGCTTGGCCCATGGCACACACTCAAGATGAAAATCAACAGCAAAATCAATAGGAAAATCAACAACTTAATCAATACTGCAGAGGCATCAAAACATGTACATCTGAAGCCAAATCAATATTTTTGGATGAAAACAAATCAATAAAAAAACTTGGTAGTTCTATTGATTTTTTCAATAACAATTGGAAAATCAATATCAATAGAAAACTATCTGTTCCTATTGATTACAATCCGATGCTCAGGGAATTGTACCGAGAAATCATCAAACCGTACCAAGAAATCATCAAACCCTACCGAGAAATCATCAAACCGTACCGAGAAATCATCATATTGTACCGAGAAACCATCAAATTATACCGAGATATCATCATGTTTCTACAGAGAAACCATAACAATTGTATACTGAGAGAAATTCAAAGTGTACCAAGAAAGCATCATATTGTACCAAGAAGTCATCAAATTATACCCAGAAATCACCATAAAAATGGAAAACATGTAAAGGGTAGAAAGCAAACACTAGGAAAAAAGAGAAAAAGGAAAAACATATATAAAGGATAGAAAACAAACACCAGGAATTGGACCCCCCAAATATATATATATATAAAGGGTAGAAAACAAGCACTAGAAAAAAAACAGGAACAACAAATATAAAGGGTAGAAAACAAACACTAGAAACAATATATATAGAAAAGGTAGAAAACAAACACTAGAAACAAATCCAAATACATAAGGGTAGAAAATAAACATTAGAAAAAAAACATATAAAGGGTAGAAAACAAACACTTTAAACAAGGGAAGAATATATAACGGGTAGAAAACAAATATTAGGAAAAAAAGGGGAAACATATATAGAGGGCAGAAAACAAAAACTAAGAAAAACTAGAAAAAAAACATATATAAAGGATAGAAAACAAACACTAGGAATTGGACCAAGAAAACATATATATCAAGGGTAGAAAACAAACACTAGAAAAGAAATCAGGAACAACATATATAAAGGGTAGAAAACAAACACTAAAAAAACAAAATATATGAAGGGTAGAAAAAAACACTAGAAAAAATATATGTAGAAAGGGTAGAAAACAAACACAAAAAAAGGTAAAAAAATATAAAGGGTAGAAAACAAACACTAGAAAAAAAAAACATATAAAGGGTAGAAAACAAACACTAAAAAACAGGGGAAACATATAAAGGGTAGAAAACAAATACTAGGAAAAAAGGGGAAAACATATATAAAGGGTAGAGCACAAAAACTGGGAACATATATAACATGTAGTTTTTTGCAAACACTACAAAAAATAGACGAAAAAATGATTTCTTAAATACATCCATTACGTGACAGTACGTGGGTAACACTCTTACGCAGCTAAGTTTTTTTCGTGGCTAATAAAAAAAATACGTGGCTAAAAGATCCTGGAATAATTACGCGGCTAAGAAAACCAGCCTATACACACACTTATACACACCTATACACCTATATGCCTATATACATATATATACATATATGCATATATGTATTTGTATATGTGTAAATGTTGATCCGGCAGGCCCTTGGAAGCGGATGATGCTCAGCACTACTTACAGGGTATTTTCCGTCATTTGCTGAAGGACAGCGCAGTGGTCATGGTCCCAGAGGCGAGCTTGGGTCCTTTGTCACTACAGGATGAAGCTACTGAGCACCTGACGTATCGTTTGATGAAAACACCCTGCAACCGCATCGAGTGGGACGTCGATTTGATGGACAGCCAACATCTCTGTGTCACGGAGATCGAAGAATTGGCCCTGGGTTCCGATATCATTTGGTCCATGAGACGCCAAGGTGCGGAGATGCATTTTTCACGCGAAACCCCCTCACCCCCTCCCCGTGCATTTCGGAACCGTTTTAGATCCAGATGTTCATAGGCTTAAATCCCCCCAGGTCTTCAAGGGATATTTGTTCGGGCGCACAGATCATTCAAAGACAAGGCGCTTTGCATAATATCGACAGAAAATTATGTTTTTTTTCTCCATTTTGGTTGATATAGAAATCAGTCCTGTACTGAACATATAAAGATCCCATGACATTTCTAGACTCGTGTGAACCTTAGCTTTCGTGCACCCTGGGCCTCTTGAAACGGCCAGGTCACGAGCTTGATGAGCAAAAGGCAAGCAAACTGTTGAACACAGTGCGGCTGCTTCTCCCAGTGGCATCCAAAGTATCTCATGATCCTGAAGATGAGTACCTTACAGAGCTTTTTCAGGACTGAATCTGACTATTCCGATTTCACAGATCTTGTTTCGGACGTTTCGGATTGCGAATTTACGTAAATCAGATGAATAATATCCTTTTACATCATTTTACATGATCAAGGTCCCTAGGTCCCCCCAGGGCCCAGGTCCGGTCTTGTAATGCCTCAGGAGGACGCCTGCTACTTCGAAGAGCATGGCTGCTACCCTCCAGACTTCTGAGGTAGATGAATATGTGAGATATATGCCCCATTTTCGCAGTATATCGCAGTATTGCTCGGGAGGTTCCAAGATTTCAAGTGGAGCCAACCTTCACAGAATTTGAAGAGCAATGACAATGAATTTGTGCAAATTTGAGTGTTGCTGCCGTTGCTCGTGGCATGTACAGGCCTGTGTGACCAGTCTTTACAAAGCTTGCAATCACCACAGTGGCAACTCTGCTTTGTGCATTGATTCAGCACAATACTCTTGGATTTTGGAAATGGGGTCCACTACAATCATTACAGTCAATTTAAAGAAACTATAGAAACTTGGGTTTGGTGCCATGAACCACCCATCCAGAGGGCGGTGCTGAATTTCTTCAATGCCTCCTGGTGCCAATGTACAGATGATCACTGACAGGTGATTCGTGCAGGGGTCATTGGAACAGCTTCTCCCAGGGGTAGCTGCAGTCGTGCACTCGTCACGGCTTGCAGACTTGCTTCGCAGAGACCATTGACCGTGCGACCACGGAGGACCGGAGGACCGTGGGGATGGCCGGCCACATTTGAAGCGCCGATTTCGATGCAGACACTTCTGGGATATCGGAAGCAAAGATCTTCAATCAGTGGCAAGCAGCCATCAAAAAAAGTGCATTTTCTTCTGCAACTTGCGACAGTTTTTTGCGGTGTTTTCACACTCCACACTTTGCACTTCACACTCTACACTTTACACTTCCCACTCAATACACTACACCCCACTTTACATTCAACACTCCACACTCTTACACTCTTACACTCTGCACTCCACTGTTTACACTCTACACTTCACACTAGGCAGTCTACACTCCTCACTCCTCACTCCACACCTCCCACTCTGCACTCCACGCTCCACACCCCACGCTGCACACTTTCCACTGCGCACTCCACATTCCCCACATTCCCCACAATCCCCACATTCCCCACATTCCCCACATTCCCCACATTCCCCACATTGCCCACATTCCCCACATCCACACTTCCCACTTCCCACTCTACACACGACACTCCACACTTCACACTCCACAGTCTACACTCCGCACTCCACATTCTCCACACTCTACACTCCACACACTACATTCTGCACTTCCCACTCCCCCCCCATTTTACACTCCACATTCTACAATTCACGCTTCACTCCACACTCCTCCACTCTCCACACTCTACACTCAACAGTCCGAACTCAACCCTTCACATGCACACCTACACTCCACGCTCCACGCTGTACACTTCACACTCTACACTCTGCACTCCACACTGCTCACTCCACACTGCCCACTCTACACTCCACAGTCTACACTCTGCACTCCACCTTCTACACTTCCCACTCCCCCACTTCACGCTCCACACTCTACACTCGACAATTCACACTTCACTCCGCACTCCACTACACTCCACTCTACAGTCCACACTCCACATGCACACTCTACACTACACGCTCTACACTTCAGACTCTAGACCCTAGACTCTACACACTACACTCCACACACCGCACTCCACACTTCACACTCCACACTGGACACTCCACACTCCACAGTCCACACTTCACGCCCTGCACTTTACACTTCCCACTCAACACTACACCCCACTTTACATTCAACACTCCACTCTCTTACACATCACACTCTTACACTTCACGCTCTCCACTCCATATTCCACACTTCACACTCTACCCTCCACACCCTACAGTTTACACTTGACACTCCACACTCTACACTTTGCACTCCACACTGCACACTTCACACGGTACACTCCCCGTTCAACACTCTGCACTCCACTGTGTACACTCTACACTTGACACTCCACACCCTGCACCCTCTCCCACTCCACACTTCACGGTCTAGAATGGAAGTCACCAGACTCCAGACTGTTGTAATATTTATTTCGCAAAAGTGTTTTTTGCGTAATTGTCATTCGGGTTTATGGGGAGTGGATCAGGTTTTGAATAATCATCCAGTCCTCACCCTAGCGAAAAGCAAATACATGAAAGGTTACAGGTGGACGAATGCTTCGCAAACTAGTCTGCCGCAAGCAAGGGTCGATGAAGTTCTTTCACCGAGTGCTGGGCTCAATTTGTCTTGTCCCTGTGGTAGGTTGCGGTGTAGCCTCGAAAGCTATGACGCGCCTTTGGCATCTCTTAACGCTGGCTATCATGTTGGTGGCGCTTCTCTGCCCTTTTATGAGGGTTGTGAAGTTGGGACAATGGCAGCGCTTGACCTTCCTTCTTGTGATACCGCAGGAGTGGGGCCGGATCAGGCCTGTGTGCTGAGCAGTCCTGTCACTCATGTTCAGCCCTGAAGCCAAAAGGTGATTTCGTTTCAGGAAGCGACATCTTTGGTTGAGGCAGCGATACAGGCTGACGGAGGAGGTTGGGGCGTGCATGTGTCTGCGGGCATTAAGGGGATGATGAAAAAGGCCGTTTCTTCGAGTGCGACTTCCTTCGTGCTGGGAGACACCCGCCAGGTGCAGAAGCGGACCATTCGGAACAAGAACGCGAGGAATCTTAGTCCTGCAGCTAGGCAGCTACTGCAGGAAGATCCAGAGGAGTTTGTAAGGCAACATGGGCGCCGATATGCTTCTTCTATCACACTGGGAGGCACTTTCGGCGGCGCTGTTAGCATCCACCAAAATTCTGCAGATGTGGAGAGCAGTCTTGAGGCCTTTGCCAAGGTTAGCTTTGAAGATGTATTTGGACTTTCAGGCTCATTTGAAGGCTCATTCAAGACGGCTCGGCAGGAGAGCAGCAGTATGACGAGGGTGGTTTCCAGCTTCGCTGCTGCGGGCGGTCACGACATTGTCGTGCACCTGGTGGCCGGGCCAGCCCAACAGACTCTTTCGGAAACTCCGAAGCCATTGTTCCTCACATCTCGCTCATGGGCAGATCTCGACGAAGTGCAAGACATCCTTCAGCATAGTTCTAAGGAAACCCAAGAATTGTTTCAAGCTCCCCGACTTATCCATGCTACTGAGAAGGCGATGAGCAAAGAGTATGCTGAATTGATGATGCTAATGCTAATGAATGATGTGTCCGAAGCACAAAAGTGGAAGGAGGTAAAACACAATGACGGATGGAAGGAAACGGTGAACAAAATGAATAAACAAATCAGGAAGCATCAGGCAAAAATTGAACAGGCAACTGAGGATGACTTTATTCAGTTGCAGAAGCATTCAGAAGCAGATCGCGGAGGGAAGCGATTCACCGGATTGGTTCAAAGCAGAGGACTTGAGAGCTGAGTGGATCAAATTTCCGGATGATCTATTGAAGTTTCAGATCAGCCGTAGCCTCCCAGTCTTCCGATACATCCTGAGAGAGGGGTGGGATTTCGAGTATACAGCACACAGTCACCCATATACAACGGACATGACTAAGGATGCAATCACCAATTCTACTGTCCTCCTGAAGATGCAAGCGGTGCAGAGCCTGTCTTTTCGTATCACAACCGGGAGAGGACAGACATGGATGTTACTTTTTCCTCTATAAAATGGCAGGGGTCAACCCCCTCCATAAAACGTTTTATGTTATGGTTTTGGTGGGGTATAGCCCTGCCATTTTATAGACAATTTATTTGCTTTCATCTTACGCAAACCTTTTGGGGGGCCAAGCCCTGTCATTTTATAGAAAACATGTGTGTGGAAGAAATATGTTGATGTTTTTTCCCAGACCTGATCGTTTCTGCAGTAAGATAACTTTCAAACCATGTGTATGTTTGATCATGTTTGTTTAAGTGTTCTCTTTGTAAGCTTACGTGCTTTGACACATCCAGGTGTACGTCACGGATCACTTCTTGATAGCCTTTTAAACATGCAGCTAGCATCACGGAATCCCTTCTCAGGACAGTTTGTTGCTGACTATTTTTTTTGGCAATGTTTACTGGCCCGCCCCCTTCATCATGCTCTTTGACTTTCGCCCACTCCTTCGCATAACTTTCGCCAAAACATCCCTATTCACAGACCCCGGCCATCAGCAGAGGGCACATTGAAGGAAAAGCGAATACCAGGGGCCTTGGTGTTTGGCTCTCGCAAAGCCTCACTTTTGGAAACTAAGCTGCTGCATGCGTTGAAGCAATCCATGTGGCTTGTCTGCTTGCACCCGTCATATGGAACCAACTGGGAACTCACATAGGCTCATGCAACAGAAGCCAGAGGCACTTCAGAAGCAAAGCAAGCCCGAGGAAAAACTTAGAGCAGCATAATGCCAGTAGGGAACACTTGCAGTGGCCACAGCAGTGGCCCTGTTTTATGGTGTATGCAGGGGGTCAGGCCCTGTCATTTTATAGACCCTGGCTTTTGCAAACCCGCATGGATCACCGCCAAAACCCGCATTTGTCACCCCTTGTGCCATTTTATGGTGTATGCAGGGGGTCAACACCTGTCATTTTATAGACCCTGGCTTTTGCTAACCCGCATTTGCCACCCCCAAAACCCGCATGTGTCACCCCCTTTGCTATTTTATAGGTCATGCAGGGAGTCAGACCCTAGCTTTTGCCAGAGCAGGCATGCATTGAAGCAATCCATGTGGCTTGTCTGGTTGCACAGTTCATTTATGTTCATATGAAACCAGCAGGGGTTTCACATGTGCTCATGCAAAAAGAAGCCAGAGGCACCTCAGAAGCAAAGCAAGCCCGAGGAAAAACTTAGAGCAGCATAATGCCAGCAGGGAACACCTGCAGTGGCTACAGCAGTGGCCCTGGTTTATGGTGTATGCAGGGGGTCAGGCCCTGTCATTTTATAGACCCTTTGCCAACCCACATGTGTCACCCCCCAAAACCTGCATTTGTCACCCCTTGTGCCATTTTATGGTATATGCAGGGGGTCAACACCTGTCATTTTATAGACCCTGGCTTTTGCCAACCCGCATGTGTCGCCCCCATAACCCGCATTTGTCACCCTTTGTGCCATTTTATGGTGTATGCAGGGGGTCAACACCTGTCATTTTATAGACGCATTTGCCACCCCCAAAACCCGCATGTGTCGCCCCCTGTGCTATTTTATAGGTCATGCAGGGAGTCAGACCCTAGCTTTTGCCAGAGCAGGCATGCATTGAAGCAATCCATGTGGCTTGTCTGGTTGCACAATTCATTGATGTTCATATGAAACCAGCAGGGGTCTCACATGGGCTCATGCAGACAGAAGCCAGAGGCACCTAAGAAGCAAAGCAAGCCCGAGGAAAAACTTAGAGCAGCATAATGCCAGCAGGGAACACCTGCAGTGGCCACAGCAGTGGCCCTGTTTTATGGTGTATGCAGGGGGT